TGAAGCAATTAAAAATAAAAATCACCTAACAAGTTGTAAAGCCCAGCAAGGGGCAAACTGTTAGTAACAGAGCATACAGAGTAGGAAAAGATTTTGCTGAGAGTATTAATGAAGTTAAACTCTTGAGCAAGAAACAGTAAGCCTTGAAGAAAAAGCATGCAAATACATAAGCTGGTTTATTAGTTCAGCTATGTTACCCAAAATGCTCCATTAACCAGAGCAAAATATTACAGTGAGAGCTCCCATAGGGAAAAGAATTGCAGAGTTGGAGGATGAGAGCACACCTCAGCAAACGCTGCTTCCTGTGGCAGCCCTGCTGCTGACTCAGCTGTGTTTTATCTGTGCTGCTCCAACTGCTTATGCAGTCACAGAGTAGGGAGAGATGGAGCCATCCCCATCTGGAGTTACCTGGCTGGCTGTAAAAACTGCTCCACAGTGATTCTACCATTGCAACTGAGAACACAGTGAGGAGGCTGCCAAGAGAAGGAGCACCCACCTAACCCCCCACCACGAGAAGTGTTCATCAAACGGGGGCCTGAAATAGGGTTGTCAAGGTAAAATAAGGCTGCTCAGCAAGGATGACCCACACTGACAGAATAGCTGGGAGAGATCTTGCTTGGAGCCAAGGACTGGCAAAGGCCAGAGACATCAGGCTAGCAAAGAGGCTGGCAGCCACTCTGCTTCCACGAAAGAGCTCAAATCACATGCTCCCTTTTATCATCCTAAAAAAAAAACCAACCCAAAACCCAGAGGATAGAGGGGAAAGGGACAGAGAAACAAAACAAAGGCAGGGATAAACAGGCAGGTTCACCCTGAAATAATCCACATTATTCCCTAATGCGCACTATTCCTTTGAATACTCCAGGCCTGTGTTCCAGCTGTTTTGTAATTGCCTTTGTGGAAAGGGTCACTCGTGAGGTATTCACTTAGGCAATTCAGGCCAAAGGATCCAACACTCGGTTAACCCCTGGCTTGTCCAAAACACCCTGCGCTGACTGTGCAGCTTGCCTGGACTGACCTCTACACACTTCCTAGACTTGTTCACAGGATTAAAGACCCCAATAAAGCAGTTGCTCCTCTCTCCCGGAGCCCAAGGAAAAGAGGCATTTGGAGCCCACAGCTTGGCCGGTGTATCCCACTAAGCCATCTTACCGTACCCTTCTGCCACATCTCCTGGCTTTCTTTTGGTTTGCCTCTCATGTGTTGCTGGATTTCACCCTGCAAACACGGGTGCCACACAAGCAGTGGCTCTGCCCCTCCAACAGCCCAGCATCAGGGGGACGAGGCACATCCTCCCCGCGGGGTCAGCGCGAAGGCAGGCTTTAATAACGCGCAATTGGTTAGAAACAACTCACTGTCCTCATCCCACACTGGGCCTGTGAGGGCCA